GTATTGCTTATGTTTTTTTTTGAATTGCAATTGCAGATTTTTAGGATTTTTTCGTAATTTCACGCACCATAAATGGTTAGTTTTATGACTTGCGGATTGCGTTTGCGGAAATTTTTAATGCGCGCATCTCTGATGATGATCGGCCAGGAAGCGACCTGGCGACCTGTCTATTTAAAAAATTTAAAAAAACTTTTTAAAATTTGAAGATAAAATATGGACTAAAACAATAAAAAATATTTTTAGGTTGGAACAGTTGCACATGAGGTTATGCATGCTTTGGGTTTCCATCACGAGATGATTCGTGCTGACCGCAATGGATCTGTTTGGATTAACTTTAAAGACATCAGCGACAATGTATTTTCATATTATTATTAGATCCGAATTGTTTTTAGACAATTCGTTTGAAAAATATTTAATTTATTGCTCAAGATTAGTTCAATTTAGGATCACAAATGGCGGTCCACGATTAATTTTTATTAGAATTTTACTTTAACGCTGTTTTTAATTTTTCGGATTTTTAATGCGTTTATGTTATTAATTTACTGTATTTCCTCTAATTGAAAGCCCTGGCATCTAATAATTTAATCATCCTCCAAGTGGGCATTCAATTACAGGAGCATTCAACTGGAGTGTGAAAATACGGTATTTAATCAATTCATATTTAAAATTTTTAGATGAAACGACAATACCACCGATTGAACGATACAAAACAGTTTAATCAACGATATGATTATGGTTCGGTTATGCATTATCCTCCAGAAGATTCTAGTTCTGGCATGTATGTTTTTCGTACTTTTATTATTAAGAGAGCCGCGTCCCTGCTGGCTAGGTAATCAATTTTGGATTTTGTTGAATAACTTTTAATTAGAAGCAAATAATATAATGGAATCTAATTAATAGTACAGTATAATATTCAATTTAAGATTCGAAATTATTTCTTTAATGCGAGATTATCAGTCGACAATGGGACAACGTATTGACATCTCCTTTAAAGATGCAAAAATTTTAAATCTAGTATATTGTAAGAATATAAAGATTATATTTATTTTAATCAAATGAAATTTAAAATTTAACGAAAATAATACAGTTAGCTCCATATACGTGACTCATTACTATTGTAGTAACACTTGCATGATTACAGACAAAATATATTTATGCCCTAGATAACAATATCTAGAGCTGGTCTAGTATGATCCAACTTAGATGATACATGTTATTTATATTGTTAAACCTTGACGGATATTTAACATAAATCATTTTTAACTTGTTTCAGTTATGAATCAATAGATTAAAAAAACATTGAAAATTTTTTTAAATAATTATTTAATACATAATACATGAACTAACAATATTATTTTTATATAGGCACAAGTAACAATCCACATATTGCTAATTATGCTAAATGTAATCCAGAGGATTATAAATTAAATAATGGAGAATGCAAAAATGGAGGTTATCCAGACCCAATGGATAAATGCAAATGTCGGTGTCCTCCTGGATATGATGGGAATAGCTGCACATCTCATAAATGTAATTGATAGAATTTAAATTAAATTTTATCGGGGCGAAACCTGGATAGTCTTTGTGATATTGACACAGTCTGGATGAGTAGGGAGGGGAGGCTTCCAAGGGATACCCCAAATCTTACATATTGCTCATTGTTATATTAAATTTTTCAGCCGCAAGGGGACTTATATTAACCGTTATATAATATTTATTAGATTGGAATTACCCAGTATTCTCCATTTTTTATATTTAATCTCAGATAAAAACAGCAAGGCAATAATATTAATACCTACGACTACAAAGCAATATTTTAAAGTAGATGATCAAGGAGATTATTTTTGGATTGTAAAAGTATGAATCAGTCATAAAATATATTTAAAAATTATTTACTATTCAGCGTAACATTAAAAGTAATGATAGAATTCCATCAAAATACACAATTGTAAGTGTAGAGAAATTGGATGGAGTTAATTGCAGTTATCCTTGTAAAGAAAATTACATTGAAATACAATACAATAAAGATAAATCTGCAGCTGGTAAATTATAAAAATATTCCTCCTTTTAAGGTTGACAGATCCCGATATCTGGATCTAAAAAAGATTAGTTATTCGTAAATATTTGGTTCGGAAGTCAGATCAGGAAACCCAAAGATATGGAAAGCCTTGGGAACTAAAAGATCTGGATAGCCTTAGTAATCAAATATGTAGCTATATATGCTTTACAGTCATAATCCTATAAAGGGAGGAGAACGGTTTACATCAGTAGCAAGCAAGCAAAGATGATTTAAATTATTCAATAAATATTTAGGAGCCCAACTTTGTTGTGGTAGTCGCCTAATGCCTATTGTTATAAAAGCCGAGTCGGATACAGAAGTTATTATAACAAAGCATGGTAAAGGAAAAGCAATTATTGGTTACCTAGCAGGTTATATTCGATAATATTCGCTTAAAGAGGTTCTTTAGAACTTACACCTTCAACTCCGGCAAATACATGTAAAAACGTCAATCAATCAATTATCGACGAAAAAGGTCACCCAGATTCCTTATTAAGAAGGACTGTCGATAGACCACTTAACGGGCCAAAACTTGATATTCTTTGTACTGGTGATGGTAAAAAATTGACTGTATGTTTATCGAGAAGTTTCAAGTAATTGATTGACAACTATTTAAGATAAACGGTCATATTCAAGTTAAATTCTGGGATTGTTACACAGGAAAGGATCGGATTACATATTGTGGTTATGGAGCATTTTTCCGTTGCAAGGTCCTTCATTTTATGTGATTTAACTAAAGGTTAAATTTAGAAATTGAAAGGATCAGATGAAGCCAAATGGTATTGGCAGAACCCCGAAGGTGAATGGATTCTCGTCACTCATATTAATTGTCATCCGCAAAAGGACACAGAAAATGATGGAAATTAATTTTAAATTATTATATTTTTATTTAATTATTCATATCTTAATTTTGATTTTTAATACCAACAAATTTATCAAAAACGTGATAAACCAGTTTTATGTTTAAAAAATTGTATCAAAAAACAAAAAATCTTTTATATTTTTAAAAATTCTTAACATTTAAAAAAATTTTTGTTTCAAACAATATATCAACAATAATCTTGCATGCTACTTCCACTATTTGCGATAACGATTATCTTCGTTTTCTGCAAACAGTTTTTGTATATCGTTCCAGAAATAAAATTAATTTATATAAAAACTAAACGTGTCCGGAAATTTGGGGAGTGGACACTTGGGGAGTGGACATTTGGGGGGTAGATAAATAGGGAGTGAGCGGACAATTGGGGAGTGGACATTTGGGGAGTAGCCTAACGATAAAAATACAATAGAATATTAAATAGTTTTTCTTGTTTTTGTATTTAAAAAAATAAATTGGGAAGCTCTCGAATGAGCTATTATATGCTTTTTCGAATTTTTGACCCTAAAATCCCACCAATGGTATTTGACCATTTCAAACCCCAATATATATAGAAAATAATTAAATTTAGAAAATACCGTATTTATTCTAATTGAATGGCACCTCCATTTGAATGGCACCTCCAATTGAATGACAAATTTTTGAATGAATGAAAAATAGAATGGCAGCCTCTATTTGAATGGCACCTCTAATAGAATGGCCATTTTAACTATTAACTACCTAACTCTTATTTTTTTCCCTTTATCAACTAGTAGTTTAATACTCCTTTTTATATGAATAATTTCGATATTTTTGAGCAAGTCTAGGGCAAAAAAGTGGTGTTTGAGAGGGATATTAAAGGATCTGAGAGGATAGTGGGGGATATAGTGAAATTAAACATATTTGGCAAAGATATCGAGGGATTAAAATAAAATAATTATTGGGTGATATCTAGTAGAGATGTCAGAGACATAAAATTTTTCAAGATCAAGATTTGGCCCCATGACTCGAGAACAAGACTTGTCTCCGAGTCACAACACTAATAATTAACAATTATCAAGACAATTTTTCGTCCATAGAACAAATTTTTTGGTGATTCGTCTTGTCAGTCGTATGATCGAGAGTGATTATGAAGGATTGAGGGAGATGTGAATGGTTGGAGGGAATATTTCCTTAATTATGTACCTATTAATTATGTACTTGCTTTTTCTAAGTAAAAGTCTATATCACACCCAAATTCCATGATTTAATAATCAATCAGGACCCAACTGTGAAGTAAATTTTGATTGTATTGCACTGAGCTTAATCAAAATTTGACTCTTTAGCCCCGAGATAAAAAAATTTTGAATCATATAGTAGAGAAAATTAGATACGTAGAGAAAATTCACTACTAAAATACTAAACTATCGAATTTTCCACAAAAAAAGGTTGGTAGAATTGCCCATTTTCCTAATCCTCGTCCCAATATAAACAATCCGGCCGTATATGAAAATAATGCGGGAATCAAATTTTGTAATGCGGGAAAAAATAATGCGGGAATCAAATAATGCGCCCCAAACTTTTACCTCCGGTGAACTATCCTATATCAATTTTTTAAATACAAAAACAAGAAAAACTATTTAATATTCTATTGTATTTTTATCGTTAGGCTACTCCCCAAATGTCCACTCCCCAATTGTCCGCTCACTCCCCATTTATCTACTCCCCAAATGTCCACTCCCCAAGTGTCCACTCCCCAAATCTCCGGGAGCCAAACTAAATGTCCATTAATTAGATTTTTCAGATTTTATCAAAATATTTTGTCGGTTTTTTAAGCAATTTAATAATAATACAAAAGTTTATTTCACAAACTATAAAATTGTTTTAGTTCTTGATCAATCATTCCTTTACAAAATAGGTATTATTTTTTAAGTAATATTTTTAAACATAAACATTTTGCTGATTTGCCCATTAATAAATTTTGAACTGATCAATAAACAATATTAATATCGCGTTCTATTACACAAAAATGATTTTTTAGTCAAAGTTATTTACCGATTAAAAAAAGTTTTTTTAAACACTTAAATTCTCCCCAAAATTTTACAAATGTCATCTAAAACCAAAATATTTATTTTATTAATTTTTAATCTATTATTTTTACAAATCCAATCACTTTTAACAATTTTAAATAAAGAATCTCCTTCTTTATGCAACCCAAATAAAAATTTAATTTTTTCTTCCTGCAAAGACGGCCTTCCTTGGCCTAGAGAAGATTTTACTTCAATTTCTGTTTTAATCACTCACGGAATTCATTGTATCGATATATTACAAGAAGACAATCCAAACTTTGAAGAACACCTTCAATTCCACAAAGAACATTGTTTGGAGTTGATTAAATTAATTTATAAATTCTTCGAGGAAAATAAGAATTATACAGTTCCAAAGGAGTTATGTAAATATTTTCGACAGGCAGCCTTTCCAGGTAAGTGTTGGGAATTTCTGATATCCGATTTAGGAACAAAACGAACGGAAAGTTTTAAAGAAAAACAAAAAAAAAGAGCATAATAAATTTTTGAATGAAACACGAGTCATGAATTCTTTAAAATTCCGTGAAAAACTACGAACCATAAAACGTTAGAAAATTTTTTTGTTTACCTCTAATCCGAAAATAATAAATCCTGGATATATGAATATGTCCTCTTCGGGTATCCCGGTTCCTAATATCCTATGCTTTTTCAAGACCCGTCAATATCTTATTTTCAGGTGGAAGAGTAAGAAGAGGATTGTGGGGTTGTGGATGGGAAAACGGAAAAGAAGTCGGAGGAAGAAGAAAAAGAGGTTGTAGTGGAAGAAGGAAGAAGAGGGATTTAGAAGAAGTTAATGGATTGGAAGAATTGGACGACAATGATTTTAAAGAAATGGCAACAAATAATTTTGAGTTACTCCTTTTAAAAGAGAAAAATGAAAAATTGTCGGAAATTGAGAAAAAATATTTGGAAGGATCTAGAAACCCTTTAGCGATTAGAATGGCAGCATTGGGAATTTATTGCAAATTTGAATCATATGAGAATGTGGTAAAAGATGTTATTAATGGAAAAATTATATTTAATTAAAAGGATTTTTTGTTAATGACTATTTAATTATTTCTATTTTGAAAAAGAAAAATGATTTGAAGAATTGAATCATTAAAAATGTAGATATTCTTTATTTTCTATTTCTTTTTAAATAAAATAAAAATATGTATTTATTTTAAAATTTAGGAATTTTAAGAATAAAAATAAAAACACAAAAAGAAGGGGCATTTCGCACTAAAATTCTGAAAATATTATGTATCAAGGATCGCGCTGACTCGATTCACGACTCCCAAAAATCGTTAATTCATAATTTTTTTAAATTCGGAATTCCCAAAATTCGCGAAATTGATTTTCTGCCGGCGCGATCCCTGTTATGTACGATAATTTAAATAAATGATCAAATAAATCAAAACTGTAGTAGATAAAACTGTAAAAGTAGAAGAGTAGTTTAAAGAAGAAAGTTTTTTTCCTGTGGTTCTTGCTAAAAGTCTGATACAATGTTCATCGAGTTCTGAAAATCAGAAAATCAACATAAAATCGGGGTAAATGCAGGTATCAGCTTCTAATATTTTACAGTAAAATGAACATCTAAATTAAAACCGTTGAGTCACGTTTTGGAAAATTATAAAATTATTTAATGGTTAAATTCAACTGATTATTCTATCACTTTATCAATTTTTAAGATTTCTAAAAATTATTTTTTCTTTTATTTTATTGCCTCATTGGGTTGACATACTTTTTTCAATTATTATAGAGAAAGGACGCTTATTTTCTCAGTAAAATGTCTGGGTCACATTAATGTAAACTCCGACATGTTAAACTTAAATACAGAAAACTGCTTATAAATTTTATTTATTTAAATTTAATACTATTAATTAATTCCAATTTCTATTTTACTTTTAAATTTTTCAGAAAATTGTTCTTAAAAATGAAAAAACAATTAGAAGAATGGTCATTTTGTACAAACAGTTCTGATAATTCAAATAAAATTGAAGATGAAACAAATTCTTCAATTGTAGTAGATAAAGAAGATGAAGCGACAAAAGATTTTTGTGGTTTATCACAAAATACAATTGAAAGTTTGTTACAACGTATAGAGAAATTGGAGGTTAAATAAATTTGTCGAAAAAATTATATTTAAAAATATTTTTACTGAATTATAACCTAATTAAAATGAAAGTTTGAATAGCCAAGAAAAAGTCTTGGTTCCAAGACTGAGACCAAGAGTACCGGACATCTCTACAATGCAGTATTATCGTTTGCTAAACTTCTTAAATCGCAAGAGTTAAATATTTTCTTAGAACTTATGTTATGTAAATCCTTGAAAATATTCGGATATGCGGTTCAGGGACCTGCGCTATGTGTCTCTATAAGAGCTTTTTTAAATGATATACATATAATACTAAAATATATACCAGGAAAAAATCTCAGAATTGTAAGGGAAACAGGAAAAGCGGTGGAATTCAAATAAAATTAAAATACTAATACAAAATAGTGTCTTAAATCTTATGTATTCAGTACATGAATAAATTAACGGTTGATAATGATAAAAATTTGGTAAATATCCCAAACAACTTTGACCAAAAAATAAAACTTTTACAACAAGAAATAACCAACAAAGAAACTGAAAAATTTCAAAATCTGGAACAACAATTTAAGGAAAATTATCATTCTTTGGAATTAAAAATACAAAAAATAGAGGAGGAAAATAAAGACAAAATTACAAATTTAGAAAAAATAATTCAACAAAAAGATGGAAAAATAAATTCATTGGAAGGGGAAGTTAAAAAGGTAGATTTAAATGTTTTAGTCATGAAGGTTAAAACCGTAGAAATTATATAAATATACTTGTCTCCTCATCCAAAAGTTTTGGCTATTTCGTTTCGAAACGAAACGGAAAAAAGGGCACGAAAGAGCGAAACTAAACGAAATTTCTAGCATCCCTGATCTCTATCCCCTTCGATCACACCAAATACATCGATAACTCTTAAGTCCTCAAAATCAACCCTCGGTGGTGCTGTAACTACTACGGGGGGTGGTTAACTACTTCCCTCGATATTCCAAGCATGTCTTCAGGGTTGCCACCTGTCAGAGATTGTTAATTTAAATTTAGCAAATGAGTGATATACAACGTGATCAATACAAACATTTATTGAAATTTCAAAATGAAATTAAAGAGATAAAGACAGAAAACGAGGCTAATATAAAAATTTTAAAACAAAAAAATAAAGAAAAATATCAACAATTGGAGAAAGAAAATAAAAACAAAATTTCGAATTTGGAAGAAATTATTAGTGAAAAAGAAGTAAAAATAACTTCAATGGAAAAGGATATTAAAGAGGTAATTTGTTGTAAAGTTTAAAATCTTTATATGTAAAGATATTCGATAGTCTGAAATTAAGAATCATCTGCCAACATAAGTATATTTTTGGCAGTTATTCCTGATCAGGGCCCGTAGAATAAATTCGGGGTAAAATAACCGGTAGAATAACCAGGTTAAATAACCTCGAATTCCGAGTAAAATTGGTAGAATAAATTCCGTAGAATAAATTAGCATTTTTACTCCAGACTTGAGATTACTGTAACTCACTCATCTCTTTCCTTTAGTTTCTATATTGAACTTCTTTTAAACAGCTTTAATTTTTTAGTAAAATCATTAAAGTTAGAAGTTTTGAATCCGGTTTCCGGATTTTTATATTTTTTCCCATCTGGGCCGACTTTCCAAATCAAGTTCCGAGAATCCTGATTTCTATATCCGGATCCGGACTTTCAAAAAAAATTTTCATAAATATATTTTTTTCATTTTTTGAATATAAAATTTTTCTTCATAATTTTGGAAACTTGATATATTTCGGAAAGAGATTCCAGAAGCTAGTTACCCTGTTACACTGCCCCCGACAGTGTAGCAATTTTACCCTTAACTGAAGGTTATTTAACCCGGGTAACCAATTTATTATATCAATATGAAAAACTACTCGGGGTTTTGGGTTAACCTACCGTGTTGTTTAACCCTGAACTCAGGGTAGGAATTTATGCTGCGGGTTGAGAGTTATTTGACCCTCGGGTAGGGGTTAAATAACTCTTACCCCGAATTTATTCTACGGGCCCATAAGGACAAATAGTATATCTAATTATTTTTTATATACTTATTTAGTGTATGAATAAATTAGAGGTGGATAATGATCAAAAAATTAAGCTTTTCCAAAATGAAATAACCAACAACCTGGAACAACAATTTAAAGAAAATTATCATTCTTTGGAATTAAAAATACAAAAAATAGAGGAAGATAATAAAGACAAAATTATAAATTTAGAAAAAATAATTCAACAAAAAGATGAAAAAATAAATTTATTGGAATGTGAACTCAAAAAGGTAGATGATTTAAATGTTCTAGTTACTTCCCATTTTTTCTTCTATGGGATGTACATATTGGTTATCCGTAGAGTTGTGATTTTTATGCATTTAATGATTTTTTTAAATCGGGGACTGATTTTTTAGGTTTGGCGCTGGTATAGTTTATAAACGTCCATGAACTTTTAGGCGTCAATCAAGTGTTGCAAAGTGGGGCTTTTCCTCGAAATTTCTGAAGGTTAAAATCGTTTTTCTGATATTTTTAAAATTGGCTGTAATACTCAGAAATCTCGAGGACTTGGGTAACTCCGTCCACATAGAATCTACATAAAAAATACTGAACATAAATACGAGTAGGATTAAAAAACTTTTCTTAAATTAAAGGCAAATGAAACAGTCAACGCTTTGAATAAAAAAATAGACAATATAACAAAAGAACAAGAACATTTATTCAATTTTATTACTAAAAAACCGGTTAGTAACAGAGATCGAACTGGGGTCGTGCTATATTTGAGTATTATATAGCTTAACTCGGGTTCTACTATTCTGGGGACTTCTATTAGACTGAATTATATTATTTAAGTATTTATTCTATTTATTCATTTATTCTCCATATAAATATGGGATACAATAATAAGGAAGAGAAATGGTTGGGCCAAGTCTGATAATGAGGAAAAGGCAGGGGTATTTATAGAACAATTTAAGGGTCAATATTTAAACAGAAAGTGAATAATAAAGATAAGATAAGAGTCAAGAATTGGTTGGGAATGTCGGGAGACCTTTATAATTAGAAATAGGTCAACTTTATATTTGCATGTGAAAATGCAAATTGTTTATTTGATTAAGCGAATGCAGCAGGTCGTACGAGAATCGAGTTCGATATCAAAAAAATCTCGATAACCGAAATTCTTTTAAAATCTTGTATCGGTACGATCTCTAGTTATTTTATTTATTTAAATAAACAAATTATTTAGAAATATACACAAATTAAAAATAAATGGAAGTATTTTGATAACATTCGCAAATGTTGTGAAGATAATTGTGTAAATACAAATACACCAATTGGAAAATGCAAAAACGGAAACGGATTTATTGAGATAATTAATAATACTGATATTAAATATAATAAATGTATAGAAGAAGGTAAATAATGATTAGAAGGAGAATGTATGAAAGAATGGGATGTCCTCAATCGAGACAATTTTTACGCAATTCTAAACTCGCAATTTTTTAAAAACTCGGACAAAATCTCTCCCTCTTATAATTGACTAAAATATAAAAAATAATTTTTATTGAAGTTTGTTTTTCAATTAAAAATATCAATTTAGGCGAAAATAAGTATGGCTGGCTCGATGCAGAAAATAAATTTTATAAGCCAAATACTGATTGCAATTTTGCTTCATTATTTTATTATTATGAAATTAAACTAAAAAAAGAGGGAATGAATGATTCTTCGTTTGGTTTTCGAAATATAAAAGGATATATTACATTGGGAGATGATGGTTATATTTGGTATAAATTCTTAAATACTGCTGAAATTTCATTTGAAATTCCTTCATTTTCTTGGAATGACGGAGATATTTTTGGTTGTGGATTAGTTTTTCCACCCACAAAAATGTTAGAAAAACATCCATATGTTTTCTTTACACAAAATGGAGATCAGATTGGTGAGAATAAAATAAATAAATATTTTTAATTAAAACATTTAATTAAGGTAAAGCAGTATTATTGAAGGAAGAAAGTGATGATTATTATGAGTTATATTTAAGTTTATATTGCTCTTCTATAGAAACAAACTTTGGTAATGATTTAAAAACTAAACCATTTTGTTTTGACATTTCTAAACATTTGTTTGCTGAGGAATTTTATAATTAAATTAATTTGTTTTTTAATTTTTATTTATAGCATCGATTTTAAAAATTTTAACTAAATATTATTTGTGCTAGAGACTGTATCCTATTTCTGAGCTTTTTTATTATTCCATGCTGATATTAAAAATAAAAACAATATTTATACGCACTGACATGTGTATTTGTATAGGGTAGAGGTCGGATAGTTGGAGATCTTTGGATATCCGAACCGAAAACTTCCGGATATCCGGCCTTTTTTCGGATCCGGATCCGACAACCTTAGTGCGGAAGCCGAATGAATATTTGATTGCTTGTTAATTAAGATTGAATAGAAGCTAAAAATAGCTCTTTGTCAAACAATTTTATTTCCTTCAATAAGAGCTTCAAAATTTAACAAAAAAATGATTAAACAATTTTTTTAGAAAACATTTTGTACATAACAAAAAAAATTTATTCAAATTTTAAAAATTTCTTAACATTCTGTTGCAAAACATAACATCAACAACCTCGTAAACCCTTAACAACGTGCATAGTCGAACCATCCTTTATATTATACTGATCAATTGTACGGTCACCTTCGAGTCGCTTACCAGCGAAAATCTAAAAATTATTTTAATTAATATCAAATCAAATATTAGTTTGATATGTATTTAAAAGATTATACGAATATTATTGATCAAAATTGCTCCGAGAATTTTTACTCTTAACCGATCCATTTCCCTTAATCCCACGATATTCATCCAAATCCAACAATAATACAACCCTTTTCATTTAAATTCCCCGATATCAAACAAATCGGCCCTATCCCAATATAAGGGCGGAATCGTTTTTTTCCATTACTTTTCATTACTTTATAAAAATGGTCAATTTTCCTTAAAGTTGATGTATGTTGATGTTTGCCTTAAGGAAGAATGGAGGACGTCTGTCCGAGTCTGCCCGTGTTCGTCCGAGCTTTGTCTGTTTTGTCTGTCCGTGTCCGTCCGTGTGTTGTCTGTCCGAGACCGTCCGTGTGTTGTCTGTCCGAGACCGTCCGTGTGTTGTCTGTCCGAGACCGTCCGTGTGTTGTCTGTCCGAGACCGTCCGTGTGTTGTCTGTCCGAGACCGTCCGTGTGTTGTCTGTCCGAGACCGTCCGTGTGTTGTCTGTTCGAGACCGTCCGTGTTTTGTCTGTCCGAGACCGTCCGTGTGTTGTCTGTCCGAGACCGTCCGTGTGTTATCTGTCCGAGACCGTCCGTGTGTTGTCTGTCCGAGACCGTCCGTGTGTTGTCTGTCCGAGACCGTCCGTGTGTTGTCTGTCCGAGACCGTCCGTGTGTTGTCTGTCCGTGTCCGTCCGTGTGTTGTCTGTCCGAGACCGTCCGTGTGTTGTCTGTCCGAGACCGTCCGTGTGTTGTCTGTCCGTGTCCGTCCGTGTGTTGTCTGTCCGAGACCGTCCGTGTGTTGTCTGTCCGTGTCCGTCCGTGTGTTGTCTGTCCGAGACCGTCCGTGTGTTGTCTGTCCGAGACCGTCCGTGTGTTGTCTGTCCGTGTCCGTCCGTGTGTTGTCTGTCCGAGACCGTCCGTGTGTTGTCTGTCCGTGTCCGTCCGTGTGTTGTCTGTCCGAGACCGTCCGTGTGTTGTCTGTCCGAGACCGTCCGTGTGTTGTCTGTCCGAGACCGTCCGTGTGTTGTCTGTCCGAGACCGTCCGTGTGTTGTCTGTCCGAGACCGTCCGTGTGTTGTCTGTCCGAGACCGTCCGTGTGTTGTCTGTCCGAGACCGTCCGTGTGTTGTCTGTCCGAGACCGTCCGTGTGTTGTCTGTCCGTGTCCGTCCGTGTGTTGTCTGTCCGAGACCGTCCGTGTGTTGTCTGTCCGAGACCGTCCGTGTGTTGTCTGTCCGTGTCCGTCCGTGTGTTGTCTGTCCGAGACCGTCCGTGTGTTGTCTGTCCGAGACCGTCCGTGTGTTGTCTGTCCGTGTCCGTCCGTGTGTTGTCTGTCCGAGACCGTCCGTGTGTTGTCTGTCCGAGACCGTCCGTGTGTTGTCTGTCCGTGTCCGTCCGTGTGTTGTCTGTCCGAGACCGTCCGTGTGTTGTCTGTCCGTGTCCGTCCGTGTGTTGTCTGTCCGAGACCGTCCGTGTGTTGTCTGTCCGAGACCGTCCGTGTGTTGTCTGTCCGTGTCCGTCCGTGTGTTGTCTGTCCGAGACCGTCCGTGTGTTGTCTGTCCGAGACCGTCCGTGTGTTGTCTGTCCGTGTCCGTCCGTGTGTTGTCTGTCCGAGACCGTCCGTGTGTTGTCTGTCCGTGTCCGTCCGTGTGTTGTCTGTCCGAGACCGTCCGTGTGTTGTCTGTCCGTGTTTTGTCTGTCCAAAACACGGACGGACTCGGACAGACAAAACACGGACGAGCACGGACTGAAAAACACGGGCAGACTCGGACAGACAACACACGGACGTACACGTCCGTGTTCTGTGTACGCCGTGTTTCTGTAATTGTCTGTCCTCCATTCTTCCTTAAGGCAAACATCAACATACATCAACTTTAAGGAAAATTGACCATTTTCATAAAGTAATGAAAAGTAATGGAAAAAAACGATTCCGCCCTTATATTGGGATAGGGTCAACAAATCTACTTATATCCTTTTAATACCGAAAATTCTCCTATTTCCTCAATTTTCCAAATCCTCGATCTCTTTTAATCCCCATACTAAAAATGTTCACTGACGGTTTGTCCGGGATCAGTTCTAGAAGACTCCAAAAAAATTTTTTTCCAAAAATTAATGTTCGTTTATTTATATCAGCGTCTAATTTATAAATTTAATAATTAATATATTTTTCGAATTTAATTTACAAACCAAACGTTGTTGAGACGGCGGTATTCCAGTCTTCATTTCAATCATACACTTAATAATTTCAATTGTATCGGAGGTTTTCACCTTATCGAGAATTATTGGCTCAATAATATCAATAACTTTCATATATAACTGAAATAAAATAAAAGATTTTTTAAAGAAAGTTAAATTTAATTGAATTTTCCGAAATATACTTAATCGAACTTTTTACCCCAAAAATCCCTTGGTTCTCCCTGATTTTTCAATATTTATGGGCCTACATATATCTCTGCGAGTTTTTGTCTTCTAAAAAAGGTTTCATATTTGAATTCAGCTCGTCGAGAGAAATCTAATGATATTAATTTTCCATATTAGTTTTCCACTCGGTGTTCCTATACTAAAGTACAGTTAAGCCGTTAGTGCCTCATAAAAATTATATCTTCCATATTTTTTTAGTTATTATTACAACATTATTATTAAAATTTTTTAAGCTACCTTTATTGTATTTAATTCTGATTTATTCTGTATATTGCCTGAATAACTAGGAGATACTTCTTCAAGAAAAATCTGTCTAATATCACTCAAAACTGTATTTTTCCGACATTTAGGGCAATAATTTTTCTAAAATTGAAAAAAAATAAATTTAAATTTGTAATTAAATTCTCTACTTGAAAGATCCAATTTTTAATACAATCAATGTGAAATACATGCCCACAAGAAATTGAATACATATTTTTGTAAGTTAAAGGTTTTGAACAAATAACACAGATAAATTTAGTAGAAGACATTTAAATATCTGAAATTGAGTTCAAATATAAAAAAACAATTGATAAAACATTATAAAAACAAATAGGGCACAGTCACTCGAAAATGGTTCAAAAAATGTTTAATCATCTAAAAATAATTAAAATTTCAAATATAAAGCTTTATTCTGTTTATTTTTCACTAGTTTTAATTGAAATGGGCAAATTGAAGGCAGAAATATTTCTGAAAAAGGGTGGTTTTTTTACAAGATGCCAAAACAGATGCAGCCACTCAAAAACATGAAAATTTGTGGGAATATGGCACTCGGAATTAGAGATCGGGATTTTTGAAAAGCCTGGACCTGTTCCTGGACTCTGGAGTTTGACTCTTGACCTGGACTGGATCCTGGGCCTGTAGTCCAGGAAAACCCCAGGAAGGGTAAAAAATGCCTTGGACTTGGACTCTGGGTACAGGAAAAACCCAGGCCTTGGTCCAGGTCCAGCTCGATCTCTACTCGGAATTGATGATTGAAAAAGAAAATGAAAAGCAAATAATTGAGCGCTGCAAGTTAGAGCTACCAACCGACATTAAAGGAAAATTTTAGAACAATGTTAAGATTTTGCGAATGTAAATTTTAGGCTATTCAGAGTAAATAAAAAGATTTTGTGAAATTTATTAACAGAAAAGCAAAAAAAATGATATTGTACTTATATTGTAAAATATGGAAGAAAAGAGGAGCCGGCGTTATTAATGGATAAAACATTATCCTGTCAACTGAAGATGCTGGCTGTAGACTATATGAACACCTTTAAATTAAATATCGGCTTTAATTTTCTCTTTTTTCAGTTAAGCATTCGAATAAATAAAGGAGAGAGTTATCAAACCAAAAAATAAAATCAACAAAAAATTCCCAAATTTAGAAATTAATGTAAAAAAGACAAGTAAAATGATTGTTGGCCAAATAAAAATTTTACTATTTCATTTTTAGTTCACTTTTAGGCAAATGGAAGCATTTAAACAAACACACTAAATTTGAGCCATCCAAACATAAAGCTCATCCAAAACTAAAAATTTTATTAAAAAACTCAAAAAAATTGTTAAGAAAATTTGTATATTGAATGTTTAGCATGGAAAATCATAATTTAAGTTTCGATTTGGATAACAAGTGAAAATCAGAGATTAAAAATTTATACATATTTTTCTTTAGGAGCTAAATTTAATTTTTTTCAATTCCGCTGCAAACATAAAATATAATTCATCGGGATATAATATAATTCACATATAAATTCTGAGAATTTACCTATGCAATGTAGTGGATTAACTGTGAATAAGTTTGTTTGTGTAATTTTTACGCATTATTAGCGTTTTAATAAATAATTTTAATTAAATATACTAGTAGGTACAGTTAATGATGAAATAAGTACTCTTTCTCAAATGATTATCTCACCAGCGAGAGACTGAAACAAAAATTACCAAGTGTATT